TCTTTAAAAAGCAATGGAAAAAATATCCCTCGGGTGAGGATTAAGAAGAAAAAAAACATGGACCACTACTCAGCTGAGCCCTTCCCAATACTCCTGACCCTCATAAACTTTGAGAGTCAATGAAGGTTTAAAGACACAAAGTCTTGGGGTGATTCCTTATGATTCAGTAATAGATAACCAACTCTCTCCCCATCACCCCCAGCTACCAGGCCCACAGCTCTGCTTCCAGGTTCTGACCCCCACCCCCTGAAGCCAGCTCCCCAAAGCCTGAAGTGGGGGTGGGGGCATAGAGGCCTCCCACAAGCTTACTGGGGGTGAGACAATGGGACAGTTGGGCAAATCCTCCCTTCTGATGTCCACGTGGTGGATCTGGCTGATGTTGGAGTACACATCCTGGCGAGGGATTCCTGGAGAGGAGACCTGGACCACAAAGGGCAGCTCTTCTCCCACCTCTGGCTTGTCTTGTGTGAGGAAGCGCAAGGAGGAGGTGAAGCCATGGAGGTGGTGGTTTTGGCAGAGTAATGCCCCCATCATCAGCAGTTGTAAGCCCAGAAGTAATAACAGGAGCCCCCTCTGCTGTTCCATTCTAGGAAAGAAAACAGGTCATTCCTCCCATTTTGCAAACCCCTCACTTTTGCACCATGGGTCTCAGTCCCAGTCTCCTGCAGCCATCCTTCCCTGAAGGCTTTGCACACTCCACAGAGGGGAGACCAGAGTGAGACACTTCCCAAGGCCACTCAAGGCCACATCATCTGTGTGGAAAACCTGTCTTGTGAACGTCTGCAGCCTCGTCTCATCAGCCCAGTTCAACACTGTGGTCACATTGGATGCCAGCTGGACTGCTCCCTTGGTCGGGCAACTCAACCTCCCTAACACTTGATGTCCTTGTCTGTAAAATGAGGCTTATTGCTGGATCAGGCTCATCGTGCCAAGACAGGCAATGTGCTTATGTCAGGGTGCGACAGGAACTCAACGTTATTCCAGGAATGGTCCAGGTTCTCTCTTATCTCCAACATTTTAAAAATATGTTTTTATTGATTTCAGAGAGGAAGGGAGAGGGAGAGATAGAAATATCAATGATGAGAGAGAATCATTGATTGGCTGCCTCCTGCACGCCCCCTACTGGGGATCCAGCTTGCAACCCAGGCATGTGTCCTTGATGGGAATCAAACCTGGGACCCTTCAATCCACAGTCCGACGCTCTATCCACTGAGCCAAACCTGCTAGAGCTATATCCAGCATTTTGCATAGAAGGGACCAGCCCTACTCCTGCTCATTCTGGGTGCCCTTCCCTTTCATGCCACAAGCACCAAGTTGCCACTAGGGGCTCCCACAGCCTCAGTATTCCCTTCAACCCACTCTGATCATTGTGGATTGTGACTGTCCATGTCAACCTCCCCCATGAGACTAGGGGCTTGAGGAGAGCAGGTTCAGAACTGACTCATCTCTGGGTCCTCAGCATTTCTCAGCATAGGAGGCCCCAGGAAATGGATGATGATTGGATGGATGGAGGAATGAATGAATGAATGAAGATCTCTTCTCCACCTGACAGACTCCTACTCATCCTTCAAGAGCCAGCACAAATGCTCCTTGTCTTGTCTAAGTCTTTTATTCTCATCTACACTCTGGGCTCTCCTGGTCCCTGGTATCTCTGCTGTCACAGCTCTGGTCACCAGAACTGGAATGATATGTATCTAGTTTCTCTCCCTCACCAGCCTGGGAGCCATGAGAGGGTAGACCTTGGGCATGACCCATCTGTGGGTCCCCATCATCACCCATAAAAAAAAGTTGAGCCGAAACCAGTTTGGCTCAGTGGATAGAGCGTTGGCCTGCGGACTGAAAGGTCCCAGGTTCGATTCCGGTCAAGGGCATGTACCTGGGTTGCGGGCACATCCCCAGTGGGAGATGTGCAGGAGGCAGCTGATCGATGTTTCTCTCTCATCGATGTTTCTGGCTCTCTATCTCTCTCCCTTCCTCTCTGTAAAAAATCAATAAAAAAAATTTTTTAAAAAAAGTTGAGCACCCACTTATTTACCCATCTATAGTTACTAAGCATCCAGGCATTATGGTGTGAACCAAGGAAACAACCAGAAACAAAATCAACAAAAACCTCTGCCTCCATGAAACCTACTTTCTGGTGGAAAAGACAAAGCAAGAAAATAGATAACTTCAGATAGTGATAAAAACCTATAAATGAAAAGGGGAGTGTGGCAGGGTGATGTTACTATTTGCTGAGACTGTGGTCTGGAGCAGGGCCGAATATATCATGGATGTTAATTTAAAATTTTCTATTGGCCTCATTTATAAAGTAAAAATAAACGGGCACAATTCATTTTAATGTGACACTAGCGACTAGCCCAATACATAAAAAATATTATTGTTTCAACATGCAATCAAGATAAAACTAGTGAGGGATTTTACATCCTTTTCTCACATAAAACCTTCTAACCTGGTACGCATTTTGCACTTACATTACAGCCCAATTCAGACTAGCTGCAGTCCAAATAGCCATTAGCCATGTGTGACCAGTGGGCAACACACTGAATAGCAACGCCAGGCCCAGAAAAGGAAGCCTTCCCGGATTATGAGAATTAAATGAGATGGAGATAATGAAAGCTTACTGTTTGGTCAATACACAGTAACTTTCTCTGTTAACTCATTGAGTGGGTATTATTATTGTCATCCCCACTTTACAGCAGAGGAATTTGAGATGATGCGTGGGAAGTGCCAAGCGGTGTCTGGCACAGGCGGACTGCTCATTCAGTGCTGCTCCCCCAC